CCCCCTCTTGACCTTCCCCTGGACCCAAGGGTGTGCCATGCAAATTTTGGCTGCTTTAGCTCTTACAGGGACTGAATGCATAGAGAACAAACAAACAAACAAACTTTCTTCTTTATATATATAGATAATGCAAGTTACGTTAAAATAACGTTAAAATAATATAACTGTTTCTACATATTTTTAAATATGTAGAAAGACTTAAAAGTCTTTCATTCTGTAGGAAATACACGTTCTCTTTTTCTTCTTCTTTAGTTTTCTCTGGGAATCGAGAAGTATGCCAACTGGAATTTCGTTAATTGTCGAAGATTCACTTGACTTTCGCAAACTCTAAACTTTCGCCAATATCATCAGTGTACTTTCGCTAATTGGCAAGAGGACACTGAACTTTCGCCAATACTACCCATGGATTTTCGCCAATAATTCAGTTGCATTGTCTCATAATGCAAATTACAATGTTTTTAAACAAAAAATAACATGACTTGCATTGAGAGACAATACAATCCAAGCCATAATTGGCGAAAGCCAAGTGGACATTCGCCAATTGGCGAGAGGGCACTGAACTTTCGCCAATACTTCCCATGGCCGCTCGCCAATTGGCGAAAGTCGAGTGGTTCTTCGACAATTGGCGAAAGTCATATTGGCGTACTTCCGTGATACCTTTTCTCTTTTGTTTCTTATAATTTTTGGTGTTTTCACGCTTGAAATTATCTGATAAATTATAATTTTGATCAGATATTGTCGTTTTTGAAGTTGATAACGAAACAATCGTCTCATTAGATACAGATGACGAAGAAGAAGAAGACTCCGCTTGAGAAAAACTAGAGTTAGGTGATTTTTCCGCAGTTAAATTCTTAATCAGTGTTAAATTAATCCCCACTTTTTGTTCGAAAGCCGCTGATTTAGATGCTGACGGAGCTCCCGACATTTCTGACAAAGGAGAAGAATCGGTAACAATGTAGAATCGATAACAGGTCTAGAGACCTCCTTCCCATTACGATGGGGCTTCAGAAACCGCGATAATGATTTCAAGGCTTCGATTTTTCGCTGTTCTTTAGACTGTTCAACTGAGGACTTGTGAAAAGTATGGGATGCCAGCTTATCCTCAATCAGCTGCTCCCTTTTCAGTTTAAATGATTAGGATTCTGTCGATTTTGTGAATCGTCGCCGGAAAAAGTAGGTGCGACAGATGGACTACGCTGAGAATTGTCTCTTTGTTGGAAACAATAATTTGCACTGTGTCCAGTTTTCCTGCAAATAGTGCAAGGAACTCTGCAATCTCTTCTTCAATGTCCATTTTTACGACAAATAGGACATGGTCCTAGAGGTTCTCTATTATGATTTGCTGTTGATGGATTTGAACGCTTGGCAGAATTATTCGAAGAAAAGGCAGACGAGTACTGTTATTGTTACTATTCTGACTGTTATTATTATTTCATCCATAAAAATTTGTTTGCCAATTTTGGGGAAAAGCTGATCGATTTCTATCATTATTAGTTGGAAAAACAGAAGATTTAGCTGTCTGATTCTCTTGACTAGAAGAATTTGTTGATGGAGAAGACGGTGCGTCGAGATTAGTAACAACTGATATTTCTGGTGGTTTCGATCGCACCAGCTGCCGAGTTAACTAACAATTTCGTTAATTCCTGCAGATTTGCTTCTTCATCCTCATCACAATCAGAATTCGTAGAAATCCATTTATTACGCAGCGATCTCTGGATTTCTTCCTTTCTCCGATACAATAACTGTATCTATGCTTCTTGGACCTTTTTGAGTAAGCCTTGGAGTAACCTTTTGGACCTCGTCCAAGGACATCATTCACACATCATTCCATGAAAAACTAATCAGCCGTTTGCTCAGGAGTGCCGTTACAAAACGAGCTCCGAGAATTTTTATTCTTTTTCTGCATGTTCCTAATCTTGTCAAACAATGCAGTTTTTTTCCTTATTCGGCCATTCCAGCAGATTTGCATGGGACCTCTTGAAGCGAAAATGATCTGATAGGGAAAACATCTGCGAATCAGAATAAAAAATACACCATCGGATTCGTCTCATCAAGGCGCATCGACTCATGTTCTTTTTTAGATCAAGTATACACAAATTTACGGTCTTTCTGTGGGATACCAAAAACGAAAGAATGTGGCAGAATTATATCGTGTTCCTAATCCTGCCACTCTGTGTGATCTTTTTTCTTAATTCAGCCATTCAGGCAGCAACACATGAGTGATCAGAAAAGGATTTGCTCGTGCTACCCGAAGGAAAATACTTTCTTATTATGATCATAAGGCATTAAGTGTTGGTCAAGGGCTATCTGATCATATAAAGGTCATTACATACCGATCGTTTCTTGAAATCATATATACGAGTTTTAAAGTTTCCAGTTATTTTGGTAACTCAAAATTTATTCAGGGTAAGATATTTTTTTAAACTTGTGCCTGAAAATCAAGTCACAAGAGACTTCTTGTGGTGCTCTTAAGGTCGATTTCTGAAAATCTTTCGATTGACTTTTTCGAACCCCATACTTCCCCACGGCATGATTAAACATTTTTTTTCTCCTCGATTCCACTTGAACACTCGTGTTCAAGCAATAAGCAACNAAATCCATAAGCGGAGGCAGGGGTGTAACGGTCTCGAAGCCCGTTACTATTCCTTTACTGTAATCTTCGAACTACAGCTGTTAGGCTCGGAGTTATAACCAGTAAAAAGAGAATAGCAGATAAAAATATGTAAAACGGCTGCAGTTAGCTTTCTCTGCGTATTTCACAATTGTTTCAATTGTACGCCACAGTTGTTGATGAAATCAGTTTTTCAAATTACATCACCTCCGACTTTCGTATTCTAAAAATATACGCGCCGCAAATACGAAAGAAAGAAAATTCGTTCACTCGACAATGTTAATTATATTAATTTCCTACCGGTAATTAATACTATTGACAATGTTCGTGAATTGACTATAATATATTGTTTCTAGGTTACAAAAATTGACTTGTAACCTCTTCTTTCGAAATTTGTAGATAATTTAAAAATCTCATTTTAAGTTAACATCTAGTTTTAAGTTTTCCTTTTTTTAAATGAAGAAAAAGAGAAGAAAATCTTAAACCGAAAATAAATAAAATATAAATAAAGTTAACTTAAATATACTTAAGTTAACTCGTAGAAGTTAGTCAAACGGTTGCAGAAGTTGGGACGTCTCTTAAACGACGCTCACAAATTGGTGCCGTGATCCGGGAAAATACTTATCCTGCTTCGGTACTTCTACAATAAATACGAAGTTCATCTTCATTATCATCATTGAAGTTTGATTTATCACTATTCGCCGATATAATCAATTCAAAACAAAGAGCCTATTTATAATAACATACAACAACATCGATACAATTCATCTTTATCTAATTAGTAATCCTTAGCCATTAGTCATCCATATCCGTTAGGTGCTAGTCCTTATCCGTTATCGACATTTATCTTTATCCATTAGGTGCACAATATTTATTGTCCAATAAAAACGTTTAATTATTGTTGTCCGTATTTGAGAAACCCTCTAAAATCTCATAGCATATCGGAGTCAACTAACTCTAAAAAGGTTGCTTCGAAAATTTGTATGGCGGAGGTAGATGTTCGTGGAATTATCAATAATATTCCACAACACAAACCAGTTCGTAGCCAATCAGTGATCAGTCAAAATCAGATGTTGCAATATCAGCTTCGGACAGATATACACAATCACCAGCAGCTAAAATGATTCCTACCAAGCAACCAGAAACTGTCGTTATTGATTATCCACCACAGCCATTTAATCCACTACAAGCATTGACGGCGATCACACAACAATTGATTTCGTCTGCTTCTATATATCCGTACCATATATCGTCACATGTTCCGTTCTCACAACATCAGATTTCAACAAATTCAAAAACAGAGTGTAGTTTAGAAAATAGTCATGTTTCGGTGTTCTTTTCCAATTTTCCAAAAATGTAGTAACACTTAAACAAGTCACACAAAGTAGCTTTGTAAAGAAGATATAACAAAAAAATAGTTTTATTTTAAGTTAATGAACCCATGATAAATGGCGCTTCATATCTGCTTTTGAACTATGTACATAATTATAATTATATTTTTGACAATAGAATAAGAACGAAGAGCCTTTTTGAGATTGAATTCCTGAATCTGGAGGCATATTTTCACCATTACACATTATTGTGTGACAACGTTCAAGGAAACTATCATATCTTTGTGGATTAATTGAACTTTTCTTTGGTATAATGAAATGTGAAATAATAGAATATCTTTGGTGATTTTATCGAAATTGGACTTCTAATTAGAACGCTCATTGAAGGACAGGGAAAACACTAGCATTATTACAACATTTTCACGAAGTTTATGATAGTCACTTACCATCACGAATCTTAGATTTTTCGGTTAACATACAGCAACAGGAACGGTCGTTTTAGGAATGTCAAGTGAAACAAATGGCAAGACAATCGATATTTAAATACTGGCGGCATTTTCCTAATTTATTCCTAAGCTATAACTGTGTATCATATTGGATATGGGACCCCAGCCCGCGCGCAGGTCTCGAAAA